GCGGGTATATATATATATATATATATATATATATATATATATATATATATATATATATATATATATATATATATATATAAAGACCTTTGACGTATGAATTAGTTGAATCAGTCGAGGTTTGAGCTCCAGGAGATTGCCTCGGAATTAGTTATCCTCGACACTGAGGAGGCATGAGAAGGTATGAATTCAGTATGCAGTATACGATGGGTGGATGGATAAGCGATATGTAATCTCAATAGATATGTCTATGACAACACTGCTACAAAAAGCACCCCACTAGCGGCGGAGGCTCACAAGCACAGAGGGGTAGAGCGGTGACGAGGAGTGCCCGTCACAGTACTCCACCTTTATTCGACATATATATACCATAAGCTCACTTCATAAACCACCGTCCATGAGAATCTCTCACTTCACCCTGCGGACAAAATATAACAAGCTGAATTAGCGGTCTATTCTTTGCAAAACTAGAATACGTCAGAAGATTCTTCAAAATCTTTATGTGACTTACAGAGGGTTCTCTTTTAAGGTATATATAGATAGAGGGATGGATGACGTGTTTAAATGTGAAGTAGTTTCTTGTTCTTTTTAGGAGAGACTAATACCGATGCTGTGGGGTGTCAGAGGGACAATAATTCCTTGTGAATTGAACCTAAATGTCTGTGTGTTTTTTTCTTTCCTTTTTCTTTTTCTTGTTCTCTCATTATTCAGCCTAAGTTTGATATTAATGAATACGAATACTAAAAAGAATAATACAGATTGGTTTTTCCAGCTTCGCATCATAAAAGAAAAGCAATAAAGGGAGTGGAATCCCATGTACTCACTTGGAGCAGTCGGTGGAGGCGCTGATGGGGTAGCCGATGCTGACGCCACATTTGCCCGGGATGCCGGCAATAGCACCGGCTTGGGCCCCCGAGAGACGGGACACGGTGGACTTGATGCAGGTGCACGCGGTCTTGCGGTCCGCCGTGGTCTTCGCGGCGCTGTTGAGGCTCTTCACCCCGCTGCAGCAAGCGGTGGACAGCGGCCCCTTGCCGGTGGCGTAGGAGATGCATGAGCTCAGGGCGGACGTGACCTGCCCGCACGTGATGGCTAGGGTCACATGTGGTGCGGTGACGAGGAGGAGGAGGGCCAGCACAAGCACCAGCGGAGCTCCGGAGCGCGCCATGGGCGATCAAAGACGGCAATGCAACGGCGACGACGACCGTGTCGTAAGTATTCGTGCAACGATGGATTATTAATCCCGCCGGTGTCGAGGGAATGGCAGCCATGCATCGGCGTTATATAGAGAGAGGTTCCGGGGGTTGTGTGTCGACGTGCTACAGGCTGCCATAAAGATGGGTCGTTGGCCGCTGGGAGGTGTGTGGCCATGGGACGGATGCTCAACAGGGAAATGCGCATTGATTATTGATCCGTCGAGGATGTCGACAATGTCATTTTTCTAAATCATTATACTCATGATTGTTTACTAACAAATATTGTTAGTATAAAATTTGTAACCATGTTATTTGTAATATGAAAAAAAATTTATGTTAAAATTGAAATCAAATAAAATTAGATCTGATTTTATGATACGTATCTTTTTTATGCTATCTGGAAAAAAAATATCTATGTGATTTACAATAACATTATCTTTAGATTCAAGATCATTATGAACATGTAAAGAGAACTAGATCATTCTCTTCTCATCCTATTCTTTCAATCAATTATATTAATGGATTAGAGAGATTGAAAGTAAACTTTAATCTCTCAACTGCGTTGAGATGTGTCTTTTTAGCCTATAGAAGTGTTACTAGGAGAATTTTTCCGACATCTCCTAAGAATTCTATTATAATATGATTCTTTTTTATTGATCAATAATCAATCCAATCATATCTATAATATATCTTAACTAACTAAATATGATCACATAATTAAAAGAAAAACTTACTTTCGTTAGTAGAAATTTTTTTTTTTATGGCACCACTATCGACTTCATTTATTGGTAGCATATGTATGAAATGACGCATAACCAGAAAGTCTCAACTATCGCCACATTAGCAAGCCTTAAATGCGATTAGGTGGGCAACGCCGTTTGCTTTCTTTGACTTTGGTGCAGAGCGGTAGATGCTTGTTCCCATCGGCATCGTGGCCGGCCACATAAAACTCATCTCAACTGCCTCACGAAGAAAATGTCGGATAACTTACATCGCTCGATGATTCCTTTCCATTCTTTCAGAGGACGAGCGGAGTAATGTTGTTCAAAATGAGTGTGACGGCTAAACTTCCAGTGTATTATACTACACCGGATCGTCTGTATCAAAGCGTATTAATGTCGACACACGAGAATATATAATAAATATATCATGGCAATTAAGTCGGAAGACGACGGAAACAAGCTCAAATCCACACACATCTCTACGACATTAACGGCGTTTCACATCTCATCGTCACCACGGGGGGAATTCGAGTTTTGACTCTGTGTTGTTCTGGGAAAAAAAATCTTTGACTCGGGAACCTCGCAGAAAGCACACAACAAATACAACACATCCAAGCAGGAGAGGCTTCGCCACCATAAATTCTCCGCCTGCCGTAGGTCACGTGACATGTGGATAGATTCCCCAACAAGTCGACCATACCCGAAGAAGGTGGTCAGCAATAGCGTACGAGACTGCCCGCCACCAAGTCATCCACGTGACCACGGACCGACCGTTCTGAACGTTTGACCGCCAAGTGCAGAGAGAGAGAGAGAGAGAGAGAGAGAGAGAGAGAGAGAGAGAGAGAGAGCGCTCCTCCGACCGTCCACGACGTGAGTGGTGGTAGAAAGAAGCGAAGATAAGATCAGTGCCGACCTTTATCTCCGTCAGAAGTCTTCCTCGCCGGAGTGAGTCAATCGAGGGCCTAACCAAAAGCAACCGTTAACCAACCCCATGAGGTAGAATAGAGATATCCACTAATTCTTATTTATCTATCGTTCCAGATGATCTAAGAAACAAATTCTAAAATGATTTCCTATTGCAATAAAGTTCAATCTACCATTCGAACATATTTGTGAATCATATGGAATGCTCACTAAATCTCAACTCAATCTAAAATCATTTTGCTCCTCTATTTAGCAACAAATGTTGACATCAAAATTCAGCATAACATGCCATTTTTATACCTTTTCACTAAAAAAATATAAATATATACATACGACTTATTATTATTTTATATCGTATATACATATCTATATGTGATATGCCACAGTAGCATATATATTCGAAGGGATGTGTATATTATATATATATTATATCAACATTTATGAGGGCAAATACGCTAATTCCAGACTCTGGAATGATGTAAGGTTCCACTATCGGATCGGATTTGAAAACCGTTACGAGATCCGAATCCAACATTGCTTGCATCCGGTGGACTTTTTACCTCCGGAAAAATATCCCTTTGTTTGCGTTCCTCTTTGTCCCGTTTACTTCTTCCGTTACCGACGATGTGTCCCTTCCGCTGGTGGATGAAGTAAACGAAAGAGACCAAGTCTTGTGTTCCGTCTCTCTGTTTTTAAGATTGGAAGCTTAGATCGGGCTCTCCCGGGGGCCGGCTGATTCCGGATTTCGTGTGGTTGTTCTCTCCCGGTTTTTTCTTCGCCGGATCGAAGGCATCTTGTTCGTCAAATCAGAACCTTGCCGTCGCGGAAGGTCCCATCTTTTGTGGTCTTCGTGGGCGATTAGGGTTTCGCTGTTCGTGGTTTATCAGAGTCCTCGTTTTGCGCGGTCCGCAGCTGGGTCGGAGTGGTTGCATGTGCCGTTTCCTTTCGGTTGCTTCTGATGTCGACTAGATCGGAGGAGAATCCGGCTCTTAGGATCATCGAGAACTCGATTCAGGCCCTCGGAAGGGGTTTCGATGCCAACTGCGACACGAGGCTACTCTACTGCAAGGGAGCCACCGGGTCGAGGGTGGTCGAGCTCGACGAGGAGCACGCGAGGGAGCTGCCGATCGGCGAAGGTCTAGTCGTGCCTAATGTGTCCAGGGACGTCAGGTGTTCGATCGAGAGCCCCGGGAGGGAGAGTTTCGGTGCTTGCGGATTCTACGAGGTCGGCTAATGGCTGTTGTTTTTATAACTTTCTACTGTTTCGATGCTTGCTTTGTCAGAATATTCGTCGGGAAGAAATTTTGCTTTTACGGCCGAATCATTGTTGGAACGATTGACGAATGTATCGCGTGCTGATCTTTTAGAAATTAGCGCATCGGAAAGTGAAAAATGATCGTCTAGATTTCCCATGGTGAAGACATCTGTAACATAGATTTCAGGATTTTAGATTCTTCTTGAGAAACGTTTAGATAGACGCTAAGCATTAGGACATGCTCATTTATTTGTTTGATGCTCCCACGAACTTTTCTTTCTTCAGCATGACAACCATAGTTTGCAGCTATTTTTCTCGCTTCTGTTATTTTCAAGTTCTTTTCATATGCATTGTTAAGCCATGATTTTGGAACATAGGTCTCTCTTTGTAGTTCCATACAAGTATTCCTCAAGCACAAAGGGCAACTTCATTTCTTGTGTTTGTGGTACCAGTTTGGTTTGGTAATCTGGATTATGAAGTTATCAGAATGCCACTCTTTTAAGCTTCTATTTCGTCGATGACACTAGCGGCTTGCGCCCCCTGCCATATCTGAGGAACAGAAAAGTCTATTGAGTAGCATCACCCAATTCAAAAGAGCAGTCTTCGGCCTGTCCGTAGAGAGTGCCCTAGGGGGTTTTACTTGACTCAGGCTGGCAGTTAGTAGGAACACTTTTATAGGGTTTGTTCACCTAAGAGAGAAATCTCTCAGATTCTTTCTGGACAATCCATAATTCCTCCTTTTTAAGCAAGAAAAGTAAGTTTTATTTCCCCTGACAAGGAATACTTTTTATTTATGGAAGATCTATTCTATCCATCAGTGCTTGTGACGTTAAGTCCTTAGAAAAAAGATGCCAAAGTATGATTTGCTAGTTGCCTCTGCAGTATGACTAATTGGTGTTCTACGCTATTATCGGATGCCCTACATGTCACGGACTTAGCTGGTTTTGCCTAAGTCGTGCGGCACCCTTGCGTGTCCGTCCGCAAAGGTCAGCCTCCCCGAAACCTCTCATGGTCCCTTGGGACCCACAAAAGAGAAAACGGGTTAGAGAAAACGCCTCACTCGGGATCCACAAGCAAACATTTCCGAAAACACTTCATAGACAATGCAAATTACAAACAGACATTACAAGCTCTGAACAGTTACACAACAAAGGGTCAAAATGGTCCATTACAGACCGAATAACTCTCGCAAGTGTCTACATGACACAACTTTTATTTACAAGCCTAAGAAGGCCACCAAACCCAACTAAAATGAGGCTGTTAAGCCTTTGACCGTTCCTCTACATGCTGTGCAAAGCATGAACAAACAGAAAGACACGGACATACACAGGTATTACATCAAACATCCTGTTTAGAACTTTGTCCGTGACATTCTCCCTCACTTATTCTTTCGACGTCCTCGTCGAAGCCTTTGTCGACACTGTAACTCCTCGCCTTTGCTGAGTCTTCAATCTTTTGCTCTCGCTGCAATGCGCCACTTGGCTCCCAGCTGCTGTTTTTGAGTAGTCGAACATTTGATCCGCCATGCTACTTCAACTCGCCAATGACTTTGACTTTAGTGTGGGGTTGGCTGAGTTGTGTTGATCCTTTGTTGATTCCTACGGATCCTCCAGATGAAGGAAAAAACCATCCTTACTATGCGCCAGTCTCTCAAATACCACATGCTGCTTGAACTGGGTGGATGCTTGTTGGAGCTTTAACGAGCATCGCCTCGTAAACTTTCGAAGTTTTTGGGTCTTTCCTCCACAAAATTTGCCCATTGACTCTTCTTACACTTAGTTGTCACTTCCAAGTAGGTTCGCATCACTCTACTTTCAGTAGCACTGATCACCGTTGGTGGGGATTTGACAACTATTGTCTTCCATTATCTTCGAAGGGTCTTTGAACCTGTGCAGAGCTCCTCTGCTGGATAGATAAGAGAATTGGAGTACTCGGTTTCGCCCATTCTCTTAAGAGTTGAGAAGGCAAAGGTTACTTGACTTCGCCCGCCTCCTCGAGGTTGTACTCCATGCATCGAGCTGGGTACTAGCCTTCGCCTGCTCTTTGCTCACACTTCTGAAGCACTTGAAGTGTTTGCACTCCTTGTGTTGAGTTAGTTACTGTGATTCACCTTCTCAATGCAATCGAACTTCTGGAATGCAGGAAGTTTTCACCCCAACTTGGAGTAAGTCTTTAGTAGTTTTGGTCGCCTCTGGGATTGTACCGTCTTCTCCATCAACCCGACCGCCTACTCCACTGAGTAGCAAAGGTACAACACCGTGTACTGCTTGCTTCGTTCCTTGGTCGTGCACTCTTGCATGACCCGAAGTCTTTCACTTTCGGCTATCTTGATGAGAAGCTCGTTGACACCGGTCTTACGAAGCTCCTTGGTCTCTACCCTTCAGCCTTGTCTCGGTACTTGGAGTTTGCCTCTGCATGCTCCACCTCCTCGGCCCCTTTCACGACCAAGCGCTCTCCCTCCATGAGAGCAAGGGATTAATGACTTTCACGGAAATCCCACCTCTGCGGTACCATGGCGTTGCCATGCCCATAGCCCTGCTATCCGTCGCCTCGCATCTGCATCCATTTTCTTCACGATTAGTAGATATATCTCTGTGGCACTTTTCCGAGTTCACCTCAATTCTAACTGATGATTGATTTTGGGTAGCTAAGTCCCTCTGGACTCGTTGTCGCTTCCTCGCCCCTTTCGACTCTCTGCTTCAACACCTCTGTGTTCTCTAAGCAGCTCCCTTTGGTCGATGGAAAGACAGACTGCAACTCCTATGCATGGCCTCTGCCATCACGTTGTAGGATTTGCATTGATTCTGTTCTCCTTAGCTTCCTTGGTAGCAACATTCGCTTACTCGACCTTGTCCTCTGATTTGCCGAGCTCCCTTAAGCGAATATGAGCTCTGGACCAGTCCAACTCTCCAGCTGCTTCGATCATACCTTTGCATGATCAAGTCCCTCCAATGGGACTCACTAGTACTTACATTCGAACTTTTCTCTTGATGGAACACAACCCCCATATGTTGATGACTAAGGCTTTCATCCGATGCAAAATTTGATGTATGCACAGAAGACCCACCTCTGCGGTACCATAGCCTTCACACCTTGAATCCATAGCCCTTCTTGCCGTCGTGTTGTTTACCGAAGTGGAGCTTCCAGTAGCTCCCAATCATACCTCTGTATGATCTAGTCCCTCACGGGACTAGGTCGTGTGTATCGCATTGCCACGAACTGTTCCACCACGATCCGCTGCACCATGTCGCCTCCTGGTGACATCTCTATTGCATTCTGATCCTTGTGGGATGAACTCAAATTGTGATCCCTCCATGTGTTGCCTCTGCCAATACATCGCAGGATCTCTTTTACCTTCGATTTTGTTCGCTCCTTTGGCAATTGATCTTCATCCACCCGCTCTTGGGTCACACCTAGATGAAGCACCGCTCTAGGATAGTCCGTCGCCTAGTAGCTCCCGAAATCCACCGACTTCGTTGTAATTAGTGCACCATTGTCTGGATCCTGGGCCTCTGCCCCTACCAGCACAATCTTCGCTACGCACCGCTTCCTACTTGGCAACTTGACTGGCAACACTGTGGCATATTCTTCAAGAGTACGCGCCTTTGCGTCCTCTTGCCCCGTGCCAAGGCCTTCTGAACCCAACTTCGACTCCGCAAGTTAAGTCGCCTTCGTTCCTCTATCAAATGCTTCTTCGAGATAAGGTGAATGTGCCCAGAAGCTCCCTTCGTCTTTGGCACTATGCAAGATGAGTCCACTCTGTCAGAATGAAGGACCCATGGAACAACATAATCCTGCTCTTGCCTCTACAAGAGTTCATGTCCTTGACCTCTGTCCAAGGAAAGCTCTGTGCCTCCGCTCTATGTGTCATCTTCTATGCTAGCTCCCTTCATGCGGCTTGGGTACTTCGCCAAGTTACACTCAAGTTGCTCCGCTCCTCGTTTTGCATTGAGTTGATGGTGGCCCTCACGCCCACCATTCCACGGGTCAGCCCTCCCTTGAGTTCGATTTCCATATCGACTCCAAGCGTGCCTTCATTTGTGTTGCCTTAGGTCTCTCCCCCATTTGATCTCGCAATGCATCAACCAATGTATTCTCTCAAGCGAGATCATGCGACGACTCCTCACCGCTTGCTCGGTCCATTGAGCTTCGTGGAGTTGTTGTTTGTTGAGGCATTCCTCCTCAACATGTGCGGTCTGTTACACATGATTCTCCCTTTGGAGAACCGGGACTTATCCCTCTTGGATATCTATCCCATTGGAGCAATATCTCTCTTCGTTTCGGAGACTACCATCCCCTTGGACTACTCCGATTTGCTGAATAAACTGTGCATTGTTTTGCCTCATGCAAACACACTTGCTAGATTACGACTCCACGTCAATACAGGCCCCACTGCACCACTCAAGGCCTAGCAACATGCTGAACTCGCTGCACACTTCAGCCTCTTACGGACGTATCCTTCACATGTCGAAGAGAAAGTTTCAATGCTTCATGGCGCCGAGTTTCGGCTGCCTTGGGATGGCCGCGAACATTTCATCGTCCGCATGCAAGCCCATGTATGAGTACCAAAATTTTCAAGATAGCAATTCCCCTCACCTCTGTGAGCTTTGCACAACTCTTTCAGTCGCTGAGCAACTCATTCCACCTTGCATGGTCTTATCCTTTATAAAGCGCCTCGCTTGCCTTGAGCACCATCAAGTATTGTTGTCAACGTCAAGCCATAACTCGAACTCAGCCATCCCAACCTTTGTGCGCTCCGCATTCTTCTCAGCTTGCTTGTCCTCGTGGTGCCTCTTGCGCGAAGGGTTGGCCATTCCTCTGAATGCCAATCTCAGATGCCCGCTCCTTCGAGCGACTCCTTTTCCCTATATCTCCATGCCCGTTTTCCCCCAAACGGTCGCGCGTATACTGACTGCCCTCAATGCAGCCCCGCTAGGTCTCCCACGTTTGCACGTCAAGTGTTTCTATGA